CCCGGGGTGTACTATGGCTTAACAGGTTCCTTTTCTAGTATCTTGCAGCAACAACAGGGAATGAATCTAGTGACCATCAAGGCCCACACCTGGGCAGTTGTTTCTGTTGTGTCTTATAAGTGTGTTGCCTTTATGGCTCTTTGCCTTAGAGTACTTGCAGTGTGGGTGATGCTTACCAGACTCCATCTGTCGCCTGAGGAATCAGTGTGCAACCTTGTGATCAACTGCCATCCTGTAATCTGACAACCTTATAACCTGAAGCCACTTTATCCTCTTCCTTATTAAATCTGAGCCCTGGTGCTTTACATGCTCCTATGTCTTTCCTTGAGTGCTTGTCATTTGGAAGTTCTTAAAATGACCTGGCACCACATAATTCAAGTGGAAATGTGATTAAAAGGTTAACAGAGGAATTTCATACACAGGATCCTCAAAATGAACATGGTTAGACACATCTCTGCCTTGTGAACAGTCAGCAATGGGTGAACTTGTTTGAAGGTAGCAGTTTCCTTCCCAGCTCCCATGGACTTAAAACCCAGGTGCATCTCTGAACCTTACTAGAAGCATTTCAGTGGCTCTGTTGTAGGGTAGTTGTGGTAGAGTGATAAGATATGTTGCCTGTATCTGGACACCAAGACTAGCAAGTGACTCCAGTTAGCAAAGTGCTGAGGTGGTGTGTCTAGCTTGTCCCTGTAATTCCTTATGGTATTTTCAGTACTGAAGTCAGGTTGTAATTTCTCAAAAAGCCCATTAATTGCTGTGCTGAAACTGAAGCCTGAGCATCAGAGGGATCTGTCAGGGGAAACCAAATGTCCATAGCCACTCGCTTGTTTGGTTAGCTGGGCTTGGCAAGAATCAGAGCAATGTGGGAGCTCTTCTGTTATTCACGTGCTGAATAGCAGTGGCCCCAGGAGCTTCCATGGCAAATAGACCTGGGGTGTCCCAAAGGTCTGCTGTGTGCCTAGGAGGCTTCTGTTGGATGCTTTGGCCTTCAGGGTGGTGGTGTTAGACAGGTTCGCATGAGTGGATTCCCGTTCCCTGCTAGGGAATTGTCTCCTTGGGAAACACGAGCTTGTAAGTGCTTCTAGTTTCTGCTGAGACACAAAGGTGCTGGGTCTGGTGCTAAGGAAAGAGTTGACTCACTGCATGAAAAAAATGGCTAAAAGTGAACAAAATAACTAGATTCTGCCTTTGGCTACAGAGATAGCAGGAATTCAGTGTCCTTTTTAGTGGGAAAAAGGCACTGCAGCCCATCTCTTATCAGAGAACTACTGCTAAATGGAGAAAAGCTGACAGCAAATATTTACTCTCAGATCAATTCTGTTTAAAGTGCAATGTTTGTAGCAGAGCTTGGACACAGGAAGGTCAGAGGTGTAGGATCAAGGCTACATTTATATAAAGACAGAGGAATATGCACTGGAAACCCTTGCTTAGAAAGGGAAAAGGAAAGAACCAGAGGATTTGAAAGTCACTATGAGGATCTTGATTTTTGTCCTCACACTGAGCGTTTTCTTGTGTTCAGGTAAGTTGCTCAGAATGGAAGCATGTCATCTTTCTTGCGCTGGTTGTGGGAGGAAAAGTACAAGACCACACTGAACTTCTAATGGAATTGTGCCTCTGTCTCAGGGTTCCCGGTGTACGACTATGAAGTCCCTGTCACAGAAGAGGCTCTCAATGCTTCCATTGCAAGGATCAATTCTCGGTCATGGGGGACAAACCTGTATGGTGTTGTCAGGAGCCATGTCTTGAGAGTAAGTGTGCAGACGATGGAGATCCTTTACCTGAAATAGGCTTTGCTGTGATGGAAAACTTTTTTTCACCCAAGCCTAGAAACCCAGATTTAGTTGGAGATTTCTGAAGCTGCTTGGAAGAGGGTGTGTTTGGGGCATTATCTGAAGTTATGGCTTTAGGAACCTGCATATTGTTTGTATGTTGGTTTGTAATTAAAAACACTTTAGGAGTTCAAATTTTCCACCCCTAGAATAGAAAACTTTGAGGGATGTCTTGTAAGATTTTGTTCAAAACTGGTTGTTTTAAATGCCTCCAGCTAACTGCTTTGCTTTGAGCATAAAGTAACTTGTTTCATTGGAAGGTCTCAGCTGAATGTCTGTGCTGCTGATTAAATGCCACCACAAACACATTCAGGATTCTTTCTCTAACGTGTATTTATCATCTGTCTCTACCCACCAATTCTGGTTTAGATCTGCTAGTGTCTAAATGCAGGCAGGAAAGCCCTATCTGTTTTAATTTGCATTGCTAAGAATTATATTGGATACCCAGAGTTAAGGTATTAAAGCTTCTTAATTTAAAGTTAGCACATCCATGTTCCTGAAGATCTTGGAACCATTCTGTTTCTGTAGATGGCATGTATCAAGCCTTCTGCAAGAATGAATGACAAGATGACTCTTCGATTGATCTAGTTTGGAGGGAAAAAAAAGAAGTACTTGAAAGTAGTGGGGATTTGTTGTTTGTTTTTTGGGGGGTGGGGTGGGGTGGTGTTTTGAGTCTCCCATCTTAAGCTAAAACATTGATTAGACTGTGAGAAAGAAAAGAAAATCCTAATGTGTCAACAAAAGCAACTGAACTCTCTGAAGCTTGCAGTGTTGCATGCGTGCTGCCCATTGAAGCACTTGAGCTGACAAGGAGCGACTCTATAAACTGTGTTAATTCAATTGCTTGCAGTCGTGTGATTTGCTTTTCGAGTCGTGTATTTGCAATAGACTTTCCAGCAGTCTAGATATCCAAAGCAGAGGTGTTAGCACCCTGGTTCCCACAGAAGAGGGGGTAGCACACAGGGGTAATGCTATGTTTATCTACCTTACAGCTGTAGTCCCCCACAACTGACTCTGAGAAGTAGGAGGATCCTGAAATGGCAGTGGGGTTTCAAGTAAAGCCCCTGTGGAAAGCTGTCCTGTGTTGCTGTTACCAAATGTGCCTAAGACAGTAACTCCTGAGCACAATAAAACAGCCTTTCTCGCACACAGTAATCTGCTCTAAAATGGGCACTGACCCATAATGCCATTATGTCTTGCTTCCGCTTGACAAAGAAGAAAGGTTGCCATGTAGTGGGCATAGAAGAATGACAGGCACTAATTTCATGTTGCATTGACCTTCCTTCTGCCAGGTTG